AAGCCCTCTGCAGCACACCCAGAGTCAAACCTGGTCATGGCCTGAACCCACCTCCTCCTGCATTCCAGGGAAGAAACGATGACTCCGGAGCTCCACAAGGCAGCTCTGTGGGAACCAATGGCTCCACACATGGGAGTGTCACAGGCCCTCCTGTATTTTCTGTTGAAGCCAGCTTTGTAGATGTTTTCATCCTGTTTAACTTGGTGCCAACATGTGCCTGATTTCAGGATGTCTTACTCAGTTCTTCCTGTGGGGTCACTGGCAGCTGGTAAAAACAGCAGCCTAGACCAGGGTAGGTGTGAAAACAGAAGCTATGGTGTATGCAGTTTCTCTGAGGCTCAGATCTAGTCTCTTCCAGTATTTCATTGGAATGTGTTCAAGATACTATGAGCATCTAGAGACCCTAGTCTTTCCATCACCTACTAGTCTCAGGGACTCTTTGGGCCCTTTCCCTAATGGAGTCCTTTCCCAATGACTTAGAAGATTCACCCCAAACTGTTGTTATAATGTACCTCATTTTCCCAGTTTTGCTTCATAACCTAAGAGCTTCTACTCAGTCATGTACTAGCTTAAGTATACACTCAGAAGTGGTCAGAACTATAGTCCATAGTCAAGGGAGCATGAGAATAAGTTAGGCCAGGTGGCCTTAACTTGGTAAAGCTCTAACTTGTTAAACTTTCAGTATTACTGGGACCAGCAGATGGTGTAATGGTTACATAGCTGGACTCATACGTAGTCAACTGTGGTTCGAGTCCTAAATCCAGAGGCTTGAAACTCACACTGAGCATATATGTGTGCATGCCCAAAATACTGAGAGGAGAATGTGTGTGCATGCCCAAAATACTGAGAGGAGAATGGAGAAGGGAATAAAGCATGGCCATTCCCCATGGGGCGTGATTTATTTTCTGTCTCTCTGGCAAGAGCACATGCCCTACAGCAAAAATTCTAAAGAGAAAAAAAATTCAGTTTTATTTTAAGTAGCTCACTGTCCTGCAGGGCTCAGGAAACAACAATCTAGGAAAACCTATTTAAAAAGAAAGGAACACAAAATATGGTCTACACATATAATCGAATTATTTTTTAGCCTAAAAAGGAAGGAAATTCTGACATGCAACGGCATGAATGAATCTTGAGGACATTATGCTAAGTGAAATAAGCCAAGCACAAAGAAACAATTTGTGTGATTGCACTTACATGAGGTAGAGTAGCCAAAATAATAGAAAGTAGGGTGGCATTCGCAAGGGGCTGGGCAAAGAGCTACTGTTTAATGGGTCCAGTTCCAGTTTTGCAAGATGAAGAGTGCTGGAGCTGGATAATGGGGATGGTGGCCCACAACGAAGGTACTTAACTGACTCCGGAGCTCCACAAGGCAGCTCTGTGGGAACCAATGGCTCCACACATGGGAGTGTCACAGGCCCTCCTGTATTTTCTGTTGAAGCCAGCTTTGTAGATGTTTTCATCCTGTTTAACTTGGTGCCAACATGTGCCTGATTTCAGGATGTCTTACTCAGTTCTTCCTGTGGGGTCACTGGCAGCTGGTAAAAACAGCAGCCTAGACCAGGGTAGGTGTGAAAACAGAAGCTATGGTGTATGCAGTTTCTCTGAGGCTCAGATCTAGTCTCTTCCAGTATTTCATTGGAATGTGTTCAAGATACTATGAGCATCTAGAGACCCTAGTCTTTCCATCACCTACTAGTCTCAGGGACTCTTTGGGCCCTTTCCCTAATGGAGTCCTTTCCCAATGACTTAGAAGATTCACCCCAAACTGTTGTTATAATGTACCTCATTTTCCCAGTTTTGCTTCATAACCTAAGAGCTTCTACTCAGTCATGTACTAGCTTAAGTATACACTCAGAAGTGGTCAGAACTATAGTCCATAGTCAAGGGAGCATGAGAATAAGTTAGGCCAGGTGGCCTTAACTTGGTAAAGCTCTAACTTGTTAAACTTTCAGTATTACTGGGACCAGCAGATGGTGTAATGGTTACATAGCTGGACTCATACGTAGTCAACTGTGGTTCGAGTCCTAAATCCAGAGGCTTGAAACTCACACTGAGCATATATGTGTGCATGCCCAAAATACTGAGAGGAGAATGTGTGTGCATGCCCAAAATACTGAGAGGAGAATGGAGAAGGGAATAAAGCATGGCCATTCCCCATGGGGCGTGATTTATTTTCTGTCTCTCTGGCAAGAGCACATGCCCTACAGCAAAAATTCTAAAGAGAAAAAAAATTCAGTTTTATTTTAAGTAGCTCACTGTCCTGCAGGGCTCAGGAAACAACAATCTAGGAAAACCTATTTAAAAAGAAAGGAACACAAAATATGGTCTACACATATAATCGAATTATTTTTTAGCCTAAAAAGGAAGGAAATTCTGACATGCAACGGCATGAATGAATCTTGAGGACATTATGCTAAGTGAAATAAGCCAAGCACAAAGAAACAATTTGTGTGATTGCACTTACATGAGGTAGAGTAGCCAAAATAATAGAAAGTAGGGTGGCATTCGCAAGGGGCTGGGCAAAGAGCTACTGTTTAATGGGTCCAGTTCCAGTTTTGCAAGATGAAGAGTGCTGGAGCTGGATAATGGGGATGGTGGCCCACAACGAAGGTACTTAACTGAGTGAGCACTGGAAAGTGGCTACGATGCAGCAGCTCTAGCACAGCAGTAATGCTCAAAGGAACGTGGTAACCACAATCGAATCTCCTGCCTGGTCCACCTGACCCACCCCGGGCACATGCACAAGTGCCCAGGACGGCCAGGAACTGGAGGAAGGGAATCACAGCGTGACCAGATCCTGTGCAGGGCGGTCCTCTCTAATGCGCTCTCTTATTCTCGTGTGTGATCACATATACTCTATGAATAAAGAAAAAAAAATTAATAGTTAAGATGGTAAATTTTATGTGTATTTTACCACCAAAAAAAAAAGAGAAAGGAACAGCTTGAGCACTAAGGATTCTCAGCTATCATATTAGCATTGTATCATCAGAGCCAAAAGCGGCTACATAATAGAAGTTACATGTCTGTATACCCAACCCCCAACCTTCCATCTCTTCCTTCTGCCGAATGGAGCATCTCCTTGTTCTGTCACATAAATCTCTAGCTCAGAAAAATCCAGGGACTTTCAGCTATGAGTGCACTAGAGCCCACGGCTAGGCAGACAGTTTCAACCAAGACAAGGCACCCCTCACAATCGCACCGCGCTCAAGATGACTGCAGCCTCTCCTCCTGAGAAAAACAGACGCACACCCCCACGCCTGACAGAATAACTCATTTATTTTCCTAATTAAAGGCATAACTTCTAGTTGTTATTGGTATCATCAACCTCAGCATTGGGGGGGAAAAATGCCACTATAGATACTATCATCTTTATTTATTTCACATAAAATTGACTTTCTTCCTGCATTCCAAAAATGGAGACACCAGTTTCGTGTAATGAGCAGTTTGCAGGATCCAAGGAAACCAATTTTTTTATCGGTTCTTTTCCCAATAAAATGCCATTTGTTAGGACTTACAAGAGCACACCCACTGGTACGTCGCCCTAGGAAATCTTTTTTAAAAAGATACATCATTTAAATTTGACACTTTGAACCTAAAACTAGAATTTTTAAAAAAAACTTAAAAAACGACTTAACTGTTAAAATATTTTAAATAGGTAAAATGTAAGAGATTCTTTTTAATTTTGTTTAACTGGAAACCTGTCTCCATGGTTTTGTGATTCTGCTGGACTAGATCTCAAAGGGGTCAGTTATGCCTCAGAAATGCTGGCTTGGCGTCCTTGGCTCCTAAGTCTGCTACCTTTGAAAATGCTTGGTATTTCTAGTCTGTCAGAAACAAAATGCTTATTATAGCTGCATAAGCTAAGTGAAACTTCGAAAACTTTTATTTTTGGCTAGAATTATATCAGTTCAGTGTACAAATGCTATGGCTCACTGTCTAGAAAGGGCTTTAATTTTCTTTCCTTCTTTTTTTCTTTTGTCAGAGGGTACACACACTCTCCAGAAAGACAGAAAGCAACTGCCAGTAGGGAGTGGTCACACCGTTATCCTTTTCCTCCAGTTCTCCATCCCACCAGGATCTTGGGCATGCACACACATGCACCCTGGCATGCTTTCAAGGGCTGGGAGGTGAGCTACAGTCAGTCAGGTGGAGTCTAGCCCCATATACAAAGTGCTTAACCACTGAGCTACCAGGCCAGCCCAGAATTGAATTTTAATTTTCAAAACAAATTTTATTTAATAAATTTGACTTTAATGTCTATGTCACTGAACTCCCATGTAGTTGGCCAGAGTTCGAGTCTGGACCCGGTGGCTTAAACTCACGCCACGAACGTGTGCATGCGTGCCCAAGATCCCAAAAGAAAAATGGAGAAGAAGGGATTGCAGTGTGGCCATGCCCCCGGGGGTAATTTCTTACTTTCTGTCTCTCTGTCTCTGTCTTTCTGGCAAGCACACGCACCCTACAGCAAAAACCTCTTAAAAAAAAAAAATCAAAATCAATTTTGTCATCTATTAATAAGTCAAATTTATCAAATGAATTACTTTATAAATAGCTTTGGCAATAAGATATAAATGTATAGAAAGCCCTGGTCTACACTTATAGAAATGTGAACTGGGAGAAAGAAGAGGCCAAATACTATCTATGATCTTAGAGACAAAGAACAGAATGAGCAAACATTTTATCTAAGATTTCTGGCTTCGGATCTCACTCTTCCCCTGGGTACCAGCGACCTGTGAACCAGATCTGCCTGACAGAGACACAGACATACTCCTTGAAAACCAGGGAATACCCAACATGACAATCACCAGTCCAGAAATACCTAAGAGAAAACAAGGCACGGCCAATTACAGTATTGTGGATTTGAAAGATTACATGGTCAGATAATGAATTGATCATGCAACAATGAACGCAACTCCACAAGACATGTTCCACACATTTACCTGTAAAAACAGCGAGACTAATAGCCCTAGAGTAAGATATCAATAATCAGACTCAGAAAAAATGAGTTAAAAAGTTTATTAACCATAGAAAAAAAATTAATTCCTCAAAATCAATTCTTCATAAGTTCCCTGTAAAACAGAAAGCTTACAGAAAATTTCTTTCTTTTGAACAGAAAATCACTATACTTTTGGTCCAAGATATGCTGGGTTTCTTCCTTCTTCTTCAGATGACAGATGGATGGAGCCGAATCTATGAGCGAGTGTACTTGCCCCAAATGTGCAACATAAATACAGAAGCGATGAACAGAAGACTCATAACCAGTACTGGAACAGGGCCACTAGAAATAAGAAAAGAAGGCAAGCTTACTTTTAGTAATAATATATTATTGTTACTTGTCCTACTAAAGATTGCCTGTGGGAAAGTAGGAGGGAGAGGAAAGCACTTAAGATTCATATCATTTAAAAATATTCCCCAAATTACTATTGCAAGTATTTTGAGGGTGTAGTGATAGCATTATGGTTATGTTTAGAAAGAAAGAGTCCTTATATTTTAGTAAAACATACCAAAATACATACATATGATATTATCTCATCTTAGAGACACTAATCTCTTAATTTTATGGATTTGACATTTTCCAAAATAAAAAGAACAAAATCAGGACCAGCAGATGGTGTTAACGGTTAGGTCTCTGGACTCCCATATAGTTGACCATGGTTCGAGTCCCAGACCCAGCAACTTAAAACTCACACCAGGCGCATGTGCATGCATGTCCAAGATCCCAGGAAGAGAATGGAGGAAAAGAGAAAGTGGCATGGCCATAACCGGGGAGTGTTTTCTCACTCTCTGTCTCCATCTCTCCGGTGAGTGCACACATCCTATAGCAAAAATCTCCCACACTTTTTAGGTTGAAATGATCCCATTACCAATCTATTTTTTTAAATGAAGGTTTAAAGGCAACCTTCACTGTCTGACTACAATGTACTGAATATATAAAGATGAGTATTGCATTATATAATTTATAGTGGTTACAAATATCTGATCCCATTTGATCTCTGCAATGAATTCATGATATAGGTGAGACAAATACAAGCTCATCTTATAATTAAGGAAAACTAGAGCCTGACCGTAGTCAAACGTGATGCTTTACGAAGCTGACCCATAGGAGGGTTCTGGGTTCACACCTGGAGACCTCCCTAAGTACGCCAGGCACAAGCATGCTCACGATCGAGGGCAGACTGTGGTGCTAAGATCCAGTTGGGGGTTCTCTCTCCCTCTCTCTCTCTCTCTCTCACAGAGGGAAAGGAAAAAAAATACCATTACAGTAAACTGTCTCAGAGTGATGATTACTTGCCTGAGAACACATAGCCAGAATGAAAAGGAGCGATGTGAACTCAAGGTTTCTGATTCCACACATACTGTTTATTTTACTGCCTCACTGGCCCCGAACCTCAAAAAGCATTCTAGGCAGCATATATTAAGTCTGATTATCATTTATAAGTTTATTGTAGGAAGGAAATAGATTTTGCTCATTAGTCCTTTTCAAAATAAATGCTTTTCAGGTTGAGAATTAGTATATGGGTTTTTGTTTTCTCTCCTTTTTAAAATGTGCCAGAGGCTGTGTGTACTCGCCGAAGAGAGACAGAGAAAGCAACAAAGCACCCCCAATGGAGATGATGAAAGCGAAAAGGCACCGTTCCATGGGGCATGGTCACATCATAATCCCTTCTCCTCCATTTCACCCTCCTTTGGAGATTTTGGGCAAGTACATAAATGGGTTTTACACAACCTGTGAATGTTTACTTCAACGAAACGTTACAGGCCTGGCTTCCTTGACTCTTCTTGCCAACACCAGTTTTAGAGAATTTAAGATGGCTCACTTCACCTCTCAACTATGGAGTAGAGAATGAAAAGACTGCAGAAAAGAAATCTTTTTTGGGGGGGGAGGGGGGCGGATTTTTGGTATAGAGCACATGCACTCTCCAGAGACAGAAAGTGAAAAATCACCCCCCAATAGGGATAGCCATTCCACAATCCCTTCTCCTCCATTCTCCTCTCGGGATCTTGGGCACGCATGCACAGGTGCCCGGCATGAGTTTTAAGCCACCAGGTCTGGGACTTGAACCATGGTCTACTACATCAGAGTCCAGGAACATAACCATAACACCACCTCCTGGTCCTGAAAAAGAATCTTTATACCTAGGGAAGCAGTGGGGGTAACAGAGACAGTAAATGATGCACAGGGGTTAATGTCCTTGCTACCCAACTATTTTGTTCTTCCAAAATTCATACAATTAAGGAAACAAGAAAATTAAAAGTATGTGGGAAGAGATCAGCGCTGCACTCCATCACACTCTCCTATGTTAAGGCAGCCGTAGGGCAAGATTAACCATTGTACCTAAAGCTGAGAATGTATCACACTTTCAAAACGCTGGGGTTTGGAAACCAACTGTGCCACTTAACAAGCTGTGACTGAGTCCCCATTACTTACCTCTGCCAAGTCTCAGTTTCCTCATGTGTAAAGTGGGGATAATCACAGTACTATCTCATGGCTTGCTGAATAGTAATTAAATATACCCCCAACATGGGCTTATAGCAAGCTCTCAGGAAATCCAACAGACCTGAAAAAATTTCTAAACTCTTAGAATTAAAAACAAGCTAGCTTTAGGGACCAGCAGATGGTGTAGTGGCTATGCTGCTGGACTCCCATATGGTTGACCGTGGTTTGAGTCCTGGATCCAGTGGCTTGAAACTCTCACTGGCCACGTGTGTGGCCATCTCCCCTGAGAGGTGATTCTCACTTTCCCTCTCACTGTCTCTGTCTTTCCCCTCAACCACCACCCTGGTCCCCTAAGGCAAAAACCTCTAAAAACAAACAAGCTTCAAGATGCTGCTTGACTGCTTGCTCCAAGACGTGGATCTGTGGGTAATAATTCCTGGGCCAGCTGCTGTTACAGCGTTAACAATGCTCTAGGATGACAGACCCACATCACACAGTCCAGGTTCAGGTTCAAGTCCAAACACCTCCATGTACCTGCCTCAGGCCAATGACACAGGCTGGCTGCGGGTGGGCTGTAGCACAAGGATGCTACTGGGGTTGTCCTCCTGTCTCTCTGTCTCTCATGGAAGAAATACTTCTTTAAAAATTTATTTTAAAGAATTCCCAACAGTGTCCTTTCACAAAACACCTCTCTCTGGTGTGATAAGAAAGTGGTTTATGACACTTCAAGAAACAGCTTCTATCAAGTCCTAGGGGGACTGGCACTGCAGCAGCACGCACGCCTCACTGCACCACAGCCCGCAGCCTGGAGCACACACCAGTCAGGCTCACCCAGAGGAGGACAGGTTTTACCACCTTCTTGAGAAGGGTTTAAAACGGGTCCCCTGGATACCCTGAAGAGCAAGGGGTTTCGAATTTCTCTCTGAAATACTCAGCAAAATCACCTCTCACAAAGACCCAAAGGTTGTCGGTCAGAATGCTACCAACTCGTATATCCCCAAGCCTCAAGAGTTACTTCTTAAAATACATTTTTAACCTTAAAGTGTAAGTCTCCAATATAACAAGGGCAAAAAAATCAACCAACAAATAATCATGAAACCAAATCTCAAGAATTTCAGGGAAATCTTTGTAAACGAAATTTGTGATCAAAGTTAAGCTGCTGGTCAAATTAAACTAATTCAAGCTAATCTAATTTTGTCTCTTTTCTACTATACACAGAGTATGGCAAGAGTACAGGATTTGACAGGCAGAGTATCTTGTTCCATCTCGTGCTGTTTGTCTTCAAGCATGTCACTTTGCCTCTCTCAACCTGAACTTCTCATCTGCAAAACAGCGATAGCTCCCACTTCACAGGATTGCTGGGCAGATCAAAGCAGAAAATAGATACTAGAAGGTCTTAGAAGTTCTGTATAAAGCACAAAGTGCTACCATACGAGAGGTACTGTCTTTCTCCCCATTCCTCAACCACTGTGCATAGTCTGGAAACAGCTGTAAGGGGGGAGGGAATCTGGAGCCTACCCTGCTCCAAAACCTATGGGTTAGGTCAGTCACACAGAACAAGAAACCCTGGAACGCAAGGTGGGCGAGGCATGGGGCCAGCAGTCCCTTGACGCCCCTTCCCCACCACATAATGAGCACTTCCAGGCCCAAGAACTTGGCAAGTGATATATATGTTCACCCTCCCAGGTCTCCTCACCACCCACCAGAGGCAAGAAGGCCAAGGAACTTTAGGTAACACAGCCTAATGGAAAAACTTCCATTAGGTTGTAATAATATCAGCTTGCACCTCCAGGCAAACTTTGAAAAATCACCCAATTCCTATTCAAATGATTACTTCTATTCCTCAGTGTGGGGTAAGAGCACCAAATGAAGAGCAATTTCATCTAATTAAGCAGTTTTCCCTCCAGTTGTCTCTCTTGCCATTATTTATTTTGACATAGCCGCATGAAGATCTTCCCCTCCTTTCACGCACTCCACAGAGAAATGTTATTCTAGGCCCTACGCTGTCTAATTGGCTGATAAATGGGCACACCAAGCCCAGCCCACCTGACACAATGCAGCTGTTGTGCACTGTAAATCTCACAAGAGCAAGCACCTCTGATGGCAGAGACAGACAATGCTACTCTGCTGACACCAGACAGACCCAGAGCCGGGGAAGCACAGGTCTGTTCCCGACACTTACACTTTGAGCCCTGGTGAGTCTTCTGTGTAGAATCGCCACATCCCCCCAGTACCTGCTGAGGTTGTGCGGCCTGCACTTCTTGTTCCACAGCTGGCATTTTTCCTGTAAGAGAAACATGTTACAAATGGCCCTGTTTTTCGGAAATCCTTATGATACAGTATAAAATATGTCACCATTACATTGGGTTTGTTTTGTTTTGTTTTGTTTTGTGTGCCATTTTTTTTTCTTTCATTTATTTATTTTTACATTTTTCCACATTTACTTTACATAGCAAAAAATTTTAGCTCATAGTCCATAATTCTTGACAGTTTACAGACAACTTTCAAAATTTCAAAATACTGAATTTTAAACTTTTAGCCCAGTTCCATTGCCTAGCGGTTAAGGGAGCCGGATCCCACATGGTCAACTATGGCTCAAATCCTGACCCTGACAGAACATGCCAGGCAAGTGCATGTGCACGCCCCAAATCTCAACAGGATGGAGAAATGGAGAAGGGACTGTGGTATGACCATGCCCCAATGGGGAGTCTGGGGGGAGACTTTCTCGCTCTCTCTCACTCTCTGTCTCTGTCAAGTGTACAAACCCTCTGGCAGCTAAGAAAAAAAAAAAAAAAACACTTGGTCTTGGCTAGTACCCACCCAAATTCCTACCTTTCATCCTATGATCATGGTAACCATGATGAACTGCACATGTGCCCTATGCCAATGCATGCAATACCTCTGGAAAGTAGTTATCACTTCTATTTTGTAAATGAGGAAAATTAGTCTCAAAAACAGTTAAGCCAAGTACCTAAGACCACACAGCCAGTAGGTGCAGTAGGTGGCTAGCTGTGACATGGACTGGTTCACTGAGAGCTCTGACACCACTTGCCCACAGCATCCAGCCACCTCACTGGGATGATGCATCTGTTTCCTTTCACATGTATTTGTAAGAAGGCAAGTAATAAGCCCCTGTTCAAATATGCCTTGAATCCATCCAATCTGATCTTAAAAGACTACTTTAAAAGATGTGTTTTAAAATTACTATATTTATGGGACCAGCAGATGCCGTAATGGCTATGTCACTGGACTCCCATGTAGTCGACCGTGGTTCGAGTCCTGAACATGGTGGCTTAAACTCACGCCGGGCGCGTGTGCGTGCGTGCCCAAGATCCCGAGAGAAGAATGGAGGAGAAGGACTGTGGTACAGCCATCCCCCTTGGGAGATCATTTCTCACTTTCTGTCTCTGTCTTTCTTGCAAGCGCACGTGCCCTATAACAGAAACCTCTCTCTCACCCCCAATCAATCAATAAATAAATAAATAAATAAATAAATAAATAAATAAATAAATAAATAAATAAATAAATAAATAAATAAATAAATAAATAAATAAATAAATAAATAAAATACTGTATTTACTGCAAGGACTAAAAAACATTAATATTTATTACATCAAAGTCCCAAAATGGAGGATACTTTTTTGTGAAAAATTACTTTGTAATCTGTTTTCACTATTTTGAAATACTGACCAAAGATCTTGGACAGAGAGGTAGAACGTGAAAAAAAATGCAAACAACACCCAACCAGAACCTGTCCTTGCAATGGGACTCAGACTTCTGAGATGAGCCATGCGACACAGGCAGCCGTGGCGGACAGAAGCAGCCTGCTAGTACTTAGGCCACTGACCGGGAACAGGCCCAGGAAATCCTTTTCACCCTCTCTGGGGAACCTGCCAGAAACTATCTCCCATGCGGTCCTACCCTGCTCCCATTGCTCATTTCACCCCAGTGTTCACATGGCTCAAAGCAGGGGTAAGTGGTGACAGGAGAAGTCAGAAGGCATCTGCTCGAGCCCATCTACCACCCACTTGGGAGTCCTATACAGGGAGAAAAGAAAAGGAGAAAAGGAAAGCCCTGTCCCTACCAAGAGCCAAACCCCAGTATACCCTCCTTTAAAACCCCATTCCAGTGTCTATGGCTTGCTGATTCTGGATTTCTGAGAGAAGGGCATACAGGGAAGAAACAGAAGTGGAAACTCTATGTCCAGTATCTCCTAGCAGATTTTTCCCCAAGTTTGATACTAATGCCCCTTCCATGCCCTTCATGATCCTGAAGTCATGGCCTTTATACCACTCTGGGCACAAGGAACACTGCTTACTGCCCAGGCAGCTTCTGCAGCATGATGGAGTCTAACAGGAGTCCTGGCTCCAGCTGGTATTCCAGCAGGAAGAACTGTGTTCAACATAGAACCCTGAAAGCAACAGGTCACACAAAGATTCGGATCTACCCTACTACAAGGATTGTATTTGAGATGCTAATTATGGGCTACAAGTTGGTCTAGGAACTCAAAACTCCATGACATCAGAAAGGGAAAAACCAACTGGGAATAGCAAATAATTGCACAGGGATTCAGAGAGTAATTCATGTACTTAGAAAAACCTTCACACCAGAGACACACATTACTTAATCCGCGGGGTAGGAACCTAAAACTTAACCCTTTGTCATAAAAAGGTACTTGGTACTTGAGCCATCAGCTGAACCAAGACTAGGGCCTATGCATTTTCTACTACTCCTAAAACCTCCCAACTCCAATTCCTATTTCAAAGACTCCTGGAATAACAAATGCTGCAGAGGAATTAGGGCTTGACTCTTTTAAGATGTCTTACTGCTGGGCCCAATCACAATAGCACACATTGATAGGAACTGATATTCAACAGGTTGAGTCTACCTAGTAGGCCTGGGTTCAATTCCCAACCCACCTTACAAGCTGGGCTTGGTCTACGCCTAGGAAGCCTATCCCTCCCCAGACCAGCTACTCAGAAGGCTGAGGCAGGTGGGTCATATGGTCACAAGTGTGGGCAACACAGTAAGGCCCTATCTGAAAGAGTCAGGTGTGGTGGTGTGCACCTGCAGTCCCAGCTGTTCAAGATGCTCAGGGTGGGAGGATTAAAACATAGCAAGACTATTTTTAAAAAAAAAAAAAAACTTTCTTCAAACATTTTTTTAAATTTCTGCTGACATATGGCTATAGAAAAGGATTTTAAAAGCCAGGGCCCCTAAAAACACCATAATGCACTCAAAATACCTCCCATTCCCTCACTAGAAGGCTAATTAGCGGTTAACAGAGCCCACTTTAACATCTTAAGTTCCGGAGCCATGGTGGTTAAGGTGTTAGGCTCCCACATGGCTGACCGCTGTTTTGAGTCCCAGACTGGTGGCTTTGCTATCTCACTTTCCCTCTCAATCTCTGTCTGGCTCTCTCTGGTGAGAACATGTGCCCTCTACAGCAAATTAAAAATAATAATATAATAAATTTTAAAAAATAATTCTCTTAAAAATAACTTAAATGTCCATTTACAGCCCATTTTACCTTTTCTGTGGCCACTGTATAACTGGCTCCCTCTTCCTATACTGTAACACAATGGTTTTCCTAACTGTTTACACATTTGTCCTAACATGACTGCCTTAAGGCTGGTTCTTGAAAAAGCTAAGTGCATCAAGATCAGAATCTTCACACTTAACCAGTCCCTGTGCCTAGGAAGCCTATCCCGCCCCAGACACTGTATGACTGCTCCCTTGTCTCCTTTAGGTCTCTATGCAAATGTCTCCGACTTTGAAAGCCCCATTCAAACCACCAACCAGCCTCACCTTATCCCCAAGCACCATCCCCCGCCCAGCTTTAGGTTTCTTCCTAACCTGACTGCCTGAGAATACATTATTTATTAGTCTGCCTTGCTTCTGGTCTCCAGCTGGAATATGAAACTCATGAGGATAAACCCTGTCTTTCTTGGTCACAGACTTACCCTCAGAGAAAGACAGCACTTGGCACATAGCAGACCCCTGATAACTATTTGATGACTATCCTAACATCCCTGATTCCCATTAATCCTGCTTGAACATTATGTAGAACTTGAAGGCTTTACGGATTACAAAGCTTTTTAAAATCTCACAGCAACTTCCTTTTACCCTGTATTAACTAGAACAAGGATTTCAACCCTGGCCTGAGCTTAAATCTTGCACCGCTTCTTCTCCAAAGTACTAACTCTGATACCTCACTGAGCATGGAGAATACGTAATCCAAAGTATTATTATCAACTCTTAGCTTCAACATTCTCTTAAAGACTCATGAAGCAGAGATATATTCTTAGACAACCGATACTTATTATATTACACTGTAACAATACTTAATCAGTGATAAAATTCTAGAAGAGAATACTACTGGGTCCCTCAATATATACAACTATGGTCTGTCTAGTTACGCTGGCCTTATTATACTTAACCTAAAAGACGGCACCGACAGCCACAATTTTAAAAGCTGCATCTGTCCTCAAATGTTTACATTCTCCATTTCACTTGCACATAAATTTCATTTTTATTTAATTCTTTATTAATTGTATCAAGTAATTTGTCATTAATGATCTCATATTTACATTTATAGACACGTGGGATTTTTCTTTTAAAATTCGCAGATGGAGACCAACAGAAGGCATAGTGGTTACATCGCTAGACTCCCATGTAGTCAACCGCAGTTCAAGTCCTGACCCATGGCTTAAAACTCATGCTGGGCATGCCCATGATCCCTAGAGAAGAATGGAGAAGAGATTGTGACATGGCCATCCCCCCTGGGGGTGATTTCTCACTGTTCTCTGACTCTCTGGTGAGTGTATTCACCCTAAGGCAAATAACTCTCAGAGGGAAAAAAAAAAAAAAAGATTCTCGGACGGCCAGTCTCCCTGCCACAATACTACCAGTTCGCGTTATCCTGACCTAACTCTACCTATAGGACATGTTTTCCATTCCTGTACAAAGAATCTCTGAAATACAGGATGGGACTGGTACATCCTTCCAAGCCTATAAAACCTAAGCCATACCCTCATACAAGGTCTCTTCAATACCTCGGTGACAGGAAATTCACAATCATGCAGGATGATCTTATTATTTCTGATAGCGCTTTTAGCATCCCTTTGCTCTGAGCTGAAATGTTTCATGTAAGGTCAAATTGTCAGTTTTGGATTTACCTACTGCAACCAACAAGAAAAGTTTCACATTCTTCATATCCTGAAGAATAATTTTCACATATCTCTTGAAAGTCTTTTGTCTAGGTAAACTCCTCTAGGTACTTCAAAAATCCCAGGACAAAGTTGCTAGATCCTTCATTCATTCATCATCTATTGTGTCAGACCTTTGCTGGGGATAGAGATGATCTGGGCATGTTCTCTGTTAAAAGCATGACAGAGGAGATAAATATGGAAATACAAACAGTCTTACAATGATATGAACAAAATACTCTAAGAGCGAAACGTAAGACTAGTAGGTACAGCTATTTGCAGACCCAGAGAAAGCATCAAGAAAAATTACCCCTGAGCTTAATTGTGGAGAAGAAACAGAGGTAGAGGAAGGAGTTAGTGATTTAACAAAACAATAATAAATTCATTGTTGCTGCATCACAAGAGAGAAAAGAGAGATTAGATTGAAAAGACTACCAAGACCCTAGGTATCTTTTTTTCCCCTTTAGTTGAGCAACAAGAAACTAACAGGGAAACTAAGCAGAACAGTAACAGCAGAATGGAACACAGACGGGAATGGAATGGCCTAAGACAAGCCCTAAGTAGCAAATGCAAAAGTGGATAAAGGGCTGAGGACATAATGGGACAGCAGAAATGGAGAAGTAAAGAACTGATGGCACCAGCAGTTAGCATAATAGCTATGTCACTGGACTCCCATGTAGTCGACCGCGGTTTGAGTCCTGGACTCGGTGCCTTAAACTCACGCTGGGCGTGTGTGCGTGCAAGCCCAGGATCCCAAGAGGAGAATGGAGAAGAAGGGATTGCGCCATCCCCCCTGGGGGTGGGGGGTGATTTCTCTGCTTTCTGTCTCTCTCTCTCTCTCTCTCTCTCTGTCTGTCTTTCTGGCAAGCGCACCCGCCCTATAGCAAAAACCTCTCCAAGAAAAAAGAACTGATGAGAAGGTTTTTGTGTAGAATTTACAGTGTGGCATACGAGTGTGTAACGAGAGAACGAGAAAAATCCAAGATGACGGCGAAGTTTCTAGCTGTATAAACAAGTGTACAGAAGCCCTATAGGAAAGCAAGGAGATGTACTTGGGGACGGGGAAACTAGGGTGAAAGGAGAGACAGAGTTTGTTTACGATTGTGTATGAGACCTCCGGACTACAAGGTGAAGACAAAACTCACCCTCCAGAGACACCAGTTTAATGACATTGGCTCTCCCAAGTTGTCTCTGACCCCATTCCCGTCCGTTAGCTTTCCTTTATTAAGAGCAGTGCCTGGAACTGAACAACATGAAAATGTTGCCTCCCTCTCAAAAGGCCTTTGCTCTAGCCACGTCACCTAAGTGCATTTTGCCCTTCTGAATGTTAATATCCTGGGATCCCCCTCCCAGAACCGGTGACTTCTTAAGTCCCATCTCTCCGAATTCCCAGCCAAGCCAGCCACAGGGGTCCTTACCTCTGCCGGACAGTGGATCCCGCGGCCCGGGCGGCCACTGCCTTGCTGGGAGAGCGCCCTGAAGAGCCCACGTTAGTGCCACTGGGGGTCGGACCAGGCTGTAGGGTAGAGAAGTAGGCAAATGGGTGAAGATCGCGAACCAGCCTCTAAATCCCATCCCAGCCCACCAAGACCAGCACCCACACGAGGGCAAGGGAGCCCCGGAGGAAAAACAAGGAGTAAACCAGGAGTCTGGGCGTCTGGGAGAGGCAGGCAGAAAGAAGGCGAGACGAGGGCGGCCATACCATGTTGTAATCTGGCGGGTATCAGGGTGCTGAAACGGACCGGCCAGAAACTTGCAGAGCCCCCAAAGGACCGGCAGCTGGAGAGACTAGCTTAGGCCCCGCCCCCAGACTTGTGGGCAGGGTCCTCGCTGATTCCGAGGACGTTTGAGCTGTCTTATAATATGCCTGTAGAAATTCTGCTACAGAGACTTAGATATCCCCTCGTATGGCAAGGTCGGGTCTTCCGTTTCCTCCAGATAGATCAAATGGCTCTTCACAGGGTCCAATTCTATCAAAAAAAACTATATAGCCAAGGCCAAAATGAGAAAATTTCTCCGGCAGCTACTAGGCGCACACAGCTTTGCGCTGATGTGGCCTAACTGACGCACGCGCAGCGGGGCAGATTGGCCTGCAGTGGTCAGCTGGAAGCCGAGGGGCGGGACTAGCGCAAAAGCCACTCCGGGCGTGGGGCGCAGGCGCGGCTCCTGGGCCATGGCGGAGAAGCAAGGACAGGACTGGGACCCGGGGCCCCAGCCGTCGGTGCTGTTCCTACACCCGGACTTGGGCGTGGGCGGTGCCGAACGTCTGGTGCTGGACGCGGCGCTGGCGCTGCAGGCCCGCGGATGTGGCGTGAAGATCTGGACGGCACACTACGACCCCGGCCACTGCTTCGCCGAGAGCCGCGAACTGCCAGTGCGCTGCGTCGGGGACCGGCTGGCGC